GCCCCGACAGTTGTCTCAATGCCCAGTCTTCAGCGGTCTCCAACAGATCATATGGCTAGAACATACTCGGAGGATTGAGGAGAGTAGAGTCACCAAAGTCATCTTCTATGGTAATTTGCAAATGGGCAGAAAATGTCTGAGTCTAACTCTACGATGTGTGCAAGGCGGCATGAAGGGTGCATGTATTTAGATAGTTTCACAAAAACAGGATGCCACAGATCACATTTCCTGGGGAAAGGGGGAATTGAAAGAGGAAAAAAAAACAAGAGAATACAATTATTGCTGAATAGCTGTACCCGGCCACGCGTTGCTGTGGCCCAGATTGGTGAAATGGAGAGGAAAGAAAATAGCTCTCAGCTAACAGTTCTGTCATACCTCCCTCCTCTACCCTCGACGCAGTCATATTTCTCTCTCCGAAGGATTGACAAATCATCCATGGCGAAATTATTATAATAGAAATAGTTAAGAAATAAGAACTTTAAAATAATATTTTAAGCTCTCTCAGCTAACGGTGTCTGGCATAACCCCCCCCCCCCCCCCCCCTGCTCACCCACTCACATCTCCCTCTCCCAAAGATTGAAAAATGAGAACTTTAAAATAATTTTTTAAGGTCTCTCAGCTAACTGTGTCTGGCATAAACACCCCCCCCCCCCCCCCCCCCAATCATATCATCTTCTCCGAAGGATGGGGAAGTCACCGTGTAAAAAAATATTGTAACTAAATTGAGCTTTGCATCCGTGTCTACCCAGACTTAAATAGGTAGCATTAACTTGTACAGAGAAGTAAATGTAGCCAGTGTAACAGCTACCACATCACCCAGCCAGTACCAGTACTACTGCAAACACAACCACCACCACCATCACAACAACAACAAAAACTGTCACTACAGTCTGTGTAGGTCAGTGTAGAAAAGATGATTTATCGCAGCATGCTGTCGCCACGAACTATTTAGTTTGATTTTGCCCCGGACATAGGGAAAAAAAACTTCATCACGTAACCAGTGATGGAACCCACAGTGAAAAGTACACTATACTCACGAATAGGGGAGTAAAATACCCCGCACCCGTCATCTATCCCTCTCCGAGATAACGATATTTAACTGACCTTGGCATCCATGTCCACCCAAATTAAACAGGACTGTAAGCCGTCTTAGTTAACAGTTTCTGTCATCGCCGAATAATTTTTGATCGAGAAGCGTCGCGGGGAGGCTAATTAGGACATAATTGAAATCGAATGTCTTTGGGCGAAAGGTGCAGATATCGCAGCCTAGATGTAAACCACAACACAACGTGGCAACCACCCTTTTAGGGGAAAATAACAATTATCACCCAGCAGGGAATCGAACACCAGTCACCTGAGTGAAGGATAACATACTTTTAACTTTACTACCGACGACTGAAGAGTTTAGGTCAGATATCGAGGCCTAACTGTAAACCACAACACAACGTGTCAACGGCCCTCTCGAGGGCGAACGAAGATTACCTGTGACATGACCATTGAGTATTACGACGCCGCTGTCGCAGGCTAGCTGTAAACCCTAAAACCGAAAAAGGCGTAGATATCGCAGCCTAGCCGTAAACAACACAACGTGCCAGCCGCCCAGTTGAGGGCAAAAATATATATATATATATAACCTGGCGGGGAATCGAACGCGGGTCACCTGCATGATAGGCAAAATAATTAACAATTACGCTACCAAACACTGAAGCAAATAGTGGAAATGAAATTATATAAAAATGCAAGGTTCAATTAGAGCTCAGCAGTCAAATATGGCCGATTACATAAAAACAAATCCGAGCCGGCAACGAAACAAATAATGATTTGGCCGTTGCTGGAGCTACGTCGTTCGTGGTTTGTTCGATTTTCTGACAAAAAAATCACGCTTGGAGTCCAAGGCAACGTTGTGTGCAAATTTGAAAGCAGTCGGTTCAGTAGTTTCCGAGTTTTTAGCTCACATCAACGGAAAATTCCTATTTTTATTAATATAGAAAGGTTAAGTCCAGTTTAAATTGAATCTTTAGACATCAAAACGTAATTTAAAAAAAAAGGTTCACATTCTTTTTTTTGACAGGGACCCCAAAATGGTGGTGGAATGTCATTACTTTAAAAACCGAGCACGGCATCTATGTTTTAGGCGTTTGCAAAGGCTCTTCTTAATGATGGGGTGACGGGTTCGATTCTAGCTGCAGGCAGTTTGACAGTTGACCGCTTGTGGTGGTTTCGACAGCGGTATCGAAAGTCGACCGCTCAAGCAATGACAAACTACTGATGGTAAATTTGCCGAAAAAAACCACAGCAGAAAAAAAATAAACCGGGGCAGTTCAGCAACGTACAGTAATTGATAGGCAAATAACTTTTTTAGGAACTTGGGAGTCTCAGTAGAAACATGGGAGATACATGTAATAGCAACAATGGCCATGAAATCTCGTTCATTTATTGTGCAAGATTCTCTGCGCGTTCGTGTCACACTGTCTCGCTAGTCACACCGTCTTGCTAGTCACACTGTCTTGCTAGTCGCACTGTACTGCTGGTCACACCGTCTTGCAAGTCACACTGTCTTGCTAGTCACACCGTATTGCTAGTCATACTGTACTGCTAGTCACACTGTCTTGCTAGTCACACTGTCCTGCTAGTCACACCGTCTTGCTAGTCACACTGTACTGCTGGTCACACCGTCTTGCTAGTCACACTGGCTTGCTAGTCACACCGTCTTGCTAGTCGCCCTGTACTGCTGGTCACCCCGTCTTGCTAGTCACACTGTCTTGCTAGTCACACTGTCTTGCTAGTCGCACTGTACTGCTGGTCACACCGTCTTGCAAGTCACACTGTCTTGCTAGTCACACCGTATTGCTAGTCATACTGTACTGCTAGTCACACTGTCTTGCTAGTCACACTGTCCTGCTAGTCACACCGTCTTGCTAGTCACACTGTACTGCTGGTCACACCGTCTTGCTAGTCACACTGGCTTGCTAGTCACACCGTCTTGCTAGTCGCACTGTACTGCTGGTCACCCCGTCTTGCTAGTCACACTGTCTTGCTAGTCACACTGTACTGCTAGTCACACCGTCTTGCTAGTCACACCGTCTAGCTAGTCACACTGTACTGCTAGTCACACCGTCTTGCTAGTCAAACTGTACTGCTAGTCACACCGTCTTGCTAGTCACACTGTACTGCTAGTCACACCGTCTTGCTTGTCACACTGTACTGCTAGTCACACCATCCTAATAGTCACACTGTACTGCTAGTCACACCGTCTTGCTAGTCACACTGTCTTGCTAGTCACACCGTCTTGCTAGTCACACTGTCTTGCTAGTCAGACTTTACTGCTGGTCACACTGTCTTGCTAGTCACACCGTCTTGCTAATCACACCGTCTTGCTAGTCACACCGTCTTGCTAGTCACACTGTACTGCTAGTCACACTGTCTTGCTAGTCAGACTTTACTGCTGGTCACACTGTACTGCTGGTCACACCGTCTTGCTAGTCACATAGTCTTGCTTCTCACACTGTACTGCCGGTCAAACTGTCTTGCTAGTCACACCGTCTTGCTAGTCAGACTTTACAGCTAGTCACACTGTACTGCAAGTGACACCGTCTTGCTAGTCACACCGTCTTGCTAGTCACACTGTCCTGCTAGTCACACCGTTTTGCTAGTCACACCGTCTTGCTAGTCACACCGTCTTGCTAGTCACACTGTTTTGCTAGTCACACCGTCTTGCTAGTCACACCGTCTTGCTAGTCACGCTGTACTGCTAGTCACACTGTCTTGCTAGTCACGCTGTACTGCTAGTCACACTGTACTGCTAGTCACACCGTTTTGCTAGTCACACCGTCTTGCTAGTCACACCGTCTTGCTAGTCACACCGTTTTGCTAGTCACACCGTCTTGCTAGTCACACCGCCTTGCTAATCACACTGTACAGCTAGTCACACTGTACTGCTAGTCACGCTATCTTGCTAGTCACACTGTCTTGCTAGTCACACTGTCTTGCTAGTCGCACTGTCTTGCTAGTCACACTGTACTGCTAGTCACACTGTACTGTTAGTCACACTATCTTGCTAGTCACACTGTCTTGCTAGTCACACTGTACTGCTAGTCACACTGTCATGCTAGTCACACTGTCTTGCTAGTCACACTGTCTTGCTAGTCACACTTTACTGCTAGTCACACTGTAAATCGGCACAGGCTGTGATTATAGAAGAAACCGTTAGACGATCGTTCATCAATTCTCGTTATGCCTAGTGGCACCATATTTTGCTATCCTGTGCAATCTTTAGTGCAGTCTCTTATGTCAGAGATGCAGCACACCGTTCACTTTCCATTGTTCGTCTTCATGCTGTTTTTGGGCAACCCTTTTTTCTCTTGTCCTTTGGTATCCATGTAAGAGTTTTTTTGTCAGTTATATCAGGATTAGTTCTCATAACGTGGCCAAGCTATTTCCATCTTTTCTTTGTTATCATATTGTCTAGAGTTTCTTGGTTTGTGACTTGAAGTAGTTTTGTGTTTGGATACCATATTTATTGAGAGAAGGTAAACGTGCTGTACTGGATCGCATCCATGACAGTGACCCAATTGCAAATGATAGAATATAAGGGATGACTAAAATACAAAGCCTGTGTGACGTATGGCAGCCACCATGGTGTGGAGGCTAGATGCTTGGCTGATCTAAAGGTTTTTGGTTCAGGTCCTAACGGAGTCAGTGGGGGGGGGGGGGGGGGCTTCTAGGTCGACCCAGCCTAAAATGGGTACCCGATAAAGTCTTGATAGTAAAGTCCTAGGACGTAAAGGCGGCCGGTGTGATGCTGACCACATCACCCTCCTGGTGCCGATTGATTTATCTATAAACTATAGGTCTGGGCCTAAAGACCCTATACGCCTGAAAATGTGCAAAAAGCCCCTTTACACTACTTTTAGAATGTGAAGCACAACCACAGAACATAGCGACGGTGATGATGGTGATGATGATGATGGTGATGATAAATATGACTGGACACAACTGACCTCCAAAATCTCCCTATAATAAGGCCCCGGGTTATCACTTAGCGCCAATGCCAACCTCTGCAACCTCTGTATGGCCTCGTCATAGCTTCTCTTCTCGGGCACGAAAGCTCCCCAGTGAGTCTCTGGTTCTTTGTTGAAGGGAAAGAAATACCTTTTCTCTTCCTCCTCGGGAGGGTAGTAATCAATCATCCCTCTTTTAGCCAAACCCAAAAAACTAACAGGTCCATATTGATACCTGTCATCATACACGTTCGGAACATACGAAACATCGTCGTCGTTGTATGTAGTGTATGGAACATACGGCTCATTGTCCTCCTCCCCATATCCATTGAGATACGAGTCTAAAGATCCTTCTTCTGGTTCTACTTCTTCTTGCTCTGGGTTAGCTTCATCGGATAGATAGTTCACCAGCCTATTGTACAGATACTCCGCCTCTTCATCGGTGAGTGGAACCACGTCTTCGGAGTCGGGATTTGGATCCTGGTATCCAGCAGAGTAGAAGGGAGGTTCGTAGAGTTCAGATGTGTCTTCGAGGAGGTCACGTTTGATACGTCTAGTTCTCTTGTTGTTCTTTGAGGGAGCGGTTTTCTTGGAAGAGTCCACAGAGCGACGGTAGCGTTCTAAGTATGGACTTATAAGTCGCTGGTAACGACGACCTGTGGATATAGAGGAATCATATATTTGTTTTATGGAAATAAAGTAATTATTCAGAAATTAGCAAAAAACGTGAATAGAGAATTATAATAAACGTTTGACTGGAATAGACATTCTTCTTATTTTCTTTTTTCTTCTTTTTCTTCTTCTTCTTCTTCTTCTTCTTCTTCTTCTTCTTCTTCTTCTTCTTCTTCTTCTTCTTCTTCTTCTTCTTCTTCTTCTTCTTAGCATTTACTGGCTGTTAAATTATGGTTATTTGTCCACTATGAAAAAAAAGAGTAGTCAAACCTTTACCTATAACGGACATGAAAAAAATTAGTCAAACTTTTTTTTTAATGTAACGGACATGAAGAAACAAATCAAACTTTTAATGTAACAGACAATAAGATACTAGTTAAACTTTAACTAAAATGGACATGGTGAAACCAGCCTAATTTTTAATTTAATGGGCACAGAAAAAAAAAACTAGTATTTAAATCCCCCCCCCCCCCCCCCCCCCCCCCCCCCCCCGACACAATTTTTTTTTTCTTTTTCAGATTGCATTCTGTAGGTTTAACTTCTCAATAATAAGAAGCAAACGGCTACAAATCCTCTAAACTCCGTTCGACCCTGTAGCCATATTTCACAGTCATACACAGGCACAGCAAAACTATTTGAAGTAACCTGGAGCCCAGTGTCGACAGGTATGAGTATAGTGCAACTCTATTTACTGGTGGTTGCGAAACCGTCTGCCAGGCCTTCTACAATTGTAGCTACTACCGATATTTTCAGGCTGTGTTGACAGGAAAGGAATGTGTCCACTAAGTTAGCATCTTGCTGGGAAAACCTAACTACTTACATACTAACATATTGACCAACATACCTCCCCCCTCTCCCAATTGTTTTTTCGTTCGTTTATCGAACCCCATTAGCATAACAAGCTGGATGTTGTGAGGGCTCTTTGGAAGAACAGTGATGAGGCACAGATAAATCCTTACGATCTTGGGAGAATGGTGCTGCGAGGAGTTACAAGGGGATCTGGCCGGTGCTCAACACTTAGGAGAAAGGCGAGACGGATATACAATCAGACAGTTAACTGGTGCCATCGGAATTGAAACTCTTGCTAAAGATAGGGGCGTAGCGCTTTTGGGGGTGTCCCGAGTGCTGTGATGTCGATTCTGAATTCACCATTTATCACACACACACACGCACACGCATACGTACGCAGGCAAACAAGCAAGCACGCACGTAACCACACACGCATCCAACACACATGAGAGAATTATGATAATCCAGAGACACGTACCGTTATTTAGAGACAGAAGGAAATTTCTCATCTGATTCACATAGGACCTCTCTCTATCTCTATCCAGAGACACCTCACCCTCATCCTCCGGTTGTTGCGACTCCTGCAGAAACTTCTCCACCTCATCACTATCAATGCCCTCCTCGGCAGAGGATGCTTTGTTACTGCTTTCATCATTACCGCCTGCTGCTGTTGCTGTTGCTGCTGCTGCTACCATCGCGCTGCTCTCGGCTGTTCTTTGAAGCTCTTTCAGATCTGTATCTTCATCATCGGTGTCATCACGTGGCGGGTTTTCATCGGCTGTGTCACTCACTTCTCCTGCACCTTGCTCGTTTTCCTCAATGTCGTCCTCGATCAACTGTTTGATGGCTTTGTCGTCTGAATCTGTTTTGTCAACTGGTTCCTGTCGATGAAAAAAAAATTAAAAATTATTTGAGTGATGGCTTTTCGTGAGGAATGTAAACATCGGCACATACAGCACAATTTGTTTCCTACATTTTTTCGTTGGATGCCTCTTGCACTTGACAAAGCGCAGGGAAGTGTACCTAGCAATGCATTGTG